CAAAATGCCGTGGCTCGGGTGTGAGGGAGGTCAGGGGTGCAGCAAAGCGAAGGTTGCTAGGCAGCTGCAGGTCAAGAGGGCAGAGAAAATTACACCACAAGGGCAACTCTTGAGGCGCTTTAAACATATTTTCTCTTGAGGTCAACGGTGCGAGGGAGGTCAAGGGTGCGAGGTAAGTCAAGGGTGTGAGGGAGGTCAAGGGTACGAGGGAGGTCAGAGGTGTGTTGGAGGTCAAGGGTGTAGCAAGTTGAGGGCAAAGAAAATGAGATCGGTAGGGCAACTCTTGAGGCGCTTAAAGCTTAAGTCCTTCTTGAGCACCTCCGAAGCCGTCTCTGGTGAAGACTCAAGGCAGCGCTCTCAGGAGAATGAGATGAGATCGCACAGCATGGGGCACAGCGGTGGTGTTTGGTGGCTGCTAATCTAGGATAACTCGTCCGCTTAATGCCTCACCTGCACGCCCCCACGCCGATGCATGGCTGAGCTCGTCATGTTCCATGCCTCACCCGCTGCTTGCCTCACCCGTTGATTGCCTCACCAACTGCTTGCCTCACCCGCTGATTGCCTCACTTGCTGCTTGCCTCACCCGCTGATTGCCTTACCCGCTACTTGCCTCACCCGCTGCTTGCCTCACCCGCTGCTTGCCTCACCCGGTGCTTGCCTCACCCACTACTTGCCTCACCCGCTGCTTGCCTCACCCGCTGCTTGTCTCACCCGCTGCTTGCCTCACCCGCTGCTTGCCTCACCCGCTGCTTGCCTCACCCACTGGCTGCTTGCCTCACCTGCTGATTGCCTCACCTGCTGATAGCCTCACCTGCTGATTGCCTCACTTGCTGATTGCCTCACCTGCTGATTGCCTCATCTGCTGATTGCCTCATCTGCTGATTGCCTCACCTGCTGATTTTGTCACCTTCTGATTGCCTCACCTGCTGCTTGCCTCATCTGCTGATTGCCTCACCTGCTGATTGCCTCACCTGCTGATTGCCTCACTTGCTGATTGCCTCACCTGCTGATTGCCTCATCTGTTGATTGCCTCACCTGTTGATTGCCTCAGCTCAGGGACAGTGCACCCGTGAAACATTGGAGGGGGCACATCACTAAAGGCAAAGGCAACCGAGCGGAGGTTTCTCTCGACGTCCTTGAGGGCAGACTCAAGGACGTCGATAGTGAGCTCCCTAGGGTGCTTCAGAAGAAGCGCGTCACAAACCGAGGCAAGGTGGTTAGGGAGGCTAGTGGTGATGAAATAGACAGTAATCGCCATAGGGGGGGGAGCAATGCAAGCTGTTTGTCAGTGCAGGCAGCGCGGAAGCTGGAATCGAGCGAGCGCAGGTGAGTGATCATGTCAGCAGAGCGCTCAAACAAGGCGAGGTCACGAAACAGGAATGGGAGGAACATGTGACCAAGAGAGACAGTGGCGGGAGTAACGTAGTGGGCCTTGATCGCAGTCAGTAACTCACTAGCCGTGCGAACCTGAGTGAAGTGGGTCTCCTCAGACTCAGGGAGGAGGCTGCTGAGGGCGATGCAGCGCGCAGCGTCACGCGACGTCCATGCTGTGAGGTCAGCACGCTGGCAGGCGAAACGCTCTCTGTCAGTAGAGCTAAGGTCTGCGTCTAAGGGTGCAGGATTGACGGGCTTAGGAATGTCGCTGGAAGCGTGCGCCCACAGAGACACATCCGCTTAAACCTGACTCTCTAAAAGGCGGCGCGCACGCAGGAGCTAGACGGAGAACTCAAGCGGCCTACCCTCGGCGTCAAAGCGCAGGACCCTAGGGGTTGCCATAGCGGAAGCGTAACTGGACGGGCACGGTGCGATGGGCAATGTGCAAGAAATGACGGGCGCGAACAGGCAAGGCGTGAACGTTCGACGGACATGGACGAGCGAGGACGGGAGGCAGGCGCGGAAAGAGCAGGCGCGACGGTCGCGTTTTGTGCAACGAGCGCGCACTAAGACTACAACATTTGACACTTGTGTACCTCTTCGTCAATATGAAGTTAGAATTAATATGTGTAAATTACGTAATTGCACTGCACTAGCCAAGTCCGTCTGCGTTGTAGTGTGTGAATAACTTGGCGTTGGGTGCGCTTGACAAGTGAGCCTGTAGAATTTGCGGAGAAAATAATTGTGTTCCCATTTCAAAGTTTTACTACCACAAATCATTTCTTTCCGTTGTGTGCGTATAAAAGATTAAATTCCAACTCTAGGAAATCATTATCATTTCCCTTCCGTCGAGTTCACTTCAATCGGTTCGGCCTAAAAAATTGCCCTGAACCACTTCCGAATCGCTACCGCACCTTTCGCCAGACTTCCAAGCCTCCTCTCTCCTCGGTTCTCGCCCGTTGGAAAAAAAGTAATTTAAGCGCCTCTGTCTTGTCGAGACACTAAGTCGTGAACGAAGCAAAACACACCAAAGCATCTGCGAGTCAACCCTCAAAGGTTGAACAACTGCTGAAGGTTACGCGAAAGTCAAAGGTCAGCGACATTTGACCTGACAAGTACAGCATGACACCAAGGACAAACAACAGACTCGTTATTGAGCAGTTGCCCGAGTCGTCACTGTATCGAACCGCAACAACAACAGCAAAACAATTATTAGCTATAACCCTTCATATTCCCTTGTACTCTTATAAAGGCCTGTATCTCTTCGTTTTAATTAATCTACTTTGCCCTCACATACTAGCGCAAGGTGGTTCAGAGACTTGTCATTAAACGCTTCCGCTATTACATTGTTCCTACTCCGAGTTTAGTCTTGCAAAGATTGTAAGGGCTTTTCTCAGCCCAACATGGTATGAGAGCTATCAGGGCAAACTCAACTACAATCAAGACACCTACAACATCACAAGGTATGGCAACCCAGAAGGAGAGAAGCTCCTCTAACGGCTCTCCCGGTACTACTCCTACTCCACGTCCTGCCTCTCGCCTACAGACAGAGGAGAGCACAGCAACAAGACCGGCGGTTGGGTCTACTCAAACTCCCGCAGATCAAGCCGCGGGCTTCGACCCAAACATGATGGAAAAATTCTTATCCTTCATGTCCTTCTACGAATAACACGCGCAAGGGGCACCTGCGTAGTCAAATAACAGCAACAACAACAACAACGTGACACCGATGAGCCTCGACGGTTCATCCTACGCGCGAGGAAATCAGCAACAACAACCTACCTTTGCCCCGTACGAACCTCAGCGTGGTTCCGTCAGCTTCATGCCGCGCTAGCAGCCTTCAGCTGAGCAAGAAAAAATATTGGATGCACTTCAAGTCTAGTCGCAGTTTGCGCACGTCATAAAACTGCAGACATCAAAACCGTTCGACGAAAAGGACTTCTTTACCTAGTCGTTGGATTTCGAGCTGATGATGGAGGGCGCGCAGATTCTTGGCTTCTTCGACGGGTCCTTGCCATATCCAATGCACGGGACGCAATATGACAAGCAGCAGTATACATATCAGTATATGATGGCGTACACAATCCTACTGCCCAACATCATACCGAACCAGCAACAGACTATTCGGTCTTACTGGGGATACAGGAACTCCGCCGAGCTCGCGTACAACCACCTGAAGAACCTGTATCAGGCAACAAACAGCGTCAATTAGAGTCGGTTAATGGCACAACTGACAACAGCGGAAATGAAACCGGGTGAAAAGGTGATGGCGTATATTGTCAAACATTTTATATGTTACTGTTCTGTAGGCTACAGTGGGTTTAGCCTTAGGGGGTAGAACCATCTAGGGTTTTCCTACTTGTACTCCCAATCTTGCTAGTCCAACCACTTCTCTCATTCTAACATGGTATTACAAGCCTAGGTTATGTTGTGTGATGCAATCATATGCATTCACGTCTGTCTACCTCCCATCGTGTGTTCCTGCGTTGCATGCGTGGTGTGAGCGTGTGCAGGGAATTGTGTTTTGTGTGGTTTGAATTTTCTGAGGGTGTGCAAATGTTATTTGGCTTGAGCAGATATCTGAAGTGACTTCTCTGCTCAAGAGCTCTCCGATGAACCAAGTATCGCTTCAATCAGAGCACGATCAAGAAAGTTACGAACGTTGGAGTTCGTATGCTTTTCATATTTGATTGTGGCAACGGCGGGAAGTTGTGGGTTTGACTAAATAAGGGGTACATACTTTTGGGGGTTGGGAAATTTGTCTTTTCTACTGTAGTTGCTGCCAAATGGTTGGGAGAAACCAAACCTGGTTGGCAAGTGTGGCCAAGTTGGGCAAGGTGGATGGCATGGGTTGGAAAATGACAAAAGTAAACGTGGGGTTCCTATAGGGGAGGGATTTGGTGTGCTTTTGGGTTTCCTTGGTTGGGGACTCCTTGGGGACCTTCCCTCTCGTCCTCCTCTTCCCTCCCACCTGGTTCATTGCTACTCCAACTTTCTTGTGTAAACTTGTGAGACTATTGTGATTGAGTTAAGATTCTATGGCAGCTTACCCCCTAGTGCGCCGAAATTCATAACTCAAGATATACTTCATTTTATCGTACGATTCAAATTGGGAATTGTAGCCACGCACTAGAGCTAAAATATATATGAGTTTGGTGATTTTTTAACTTTGCACCTTTTGTCGACGGCCTTTCTTGTGAAGTTGACGTTTCTATCCAGAATTTTAAGCCAACGATTTTGAAAAATTTGGGCACCTAATCTTCATAGACTCCGTCCTTAGCATCTAACAAGTGGTATCAGAGCTCATTAAAGACTTTGTGGAGAGTCTACTGAAGTGTGAAGACCCTCTTAGACCCACCATGGCCTGTGGGCGTGCCTAAGTGGAGTTCTGGAGGTTGGATGTGACTTCCGCTAAGGGGAAACTCTGCCGAAATTTCGTTGGCGCCGACACTTGTGAAGATTGTGTGGATCTACATTGTGACCAGCAAAGGGGGGAGCTGAAACCTCTGATTGGGAGCAGAGGAGATGAATCAAGGGAGTGGAGATGCAGCTGAGAAGAGGAGTGAACCGTCACCATCCAAGATCGAAGCTTTGGATGGCTCCAACTGTGAAGAATGGAGCGGCGGATGCGGAGCGCCTTCAAGTGCTACAAGCTACTGAAAATTGCAATGGGAGAGGAGAAGATGCCGGGGGAAGGAGATGCCCGCGATCGGTGGATTGAGAAGAGCGCAGTGCTGTACGACCTCATCCTCCAATCGGTCAACAATGACATGTTCCAGCACATCAAGGATTTGGTGGAGTTGGATGATTCCGGACCGAAGGCATGGAAGCTGCTACGCGACGTGATTCAGCCCAACATGCTGCCGATGGTGATTGTGTTGGAGAAAGAGTTGGCTGCCCTCTCCATGAAACCAAGAGATGATGTGAAACCGGTCCTTGACAAGATCAAGGACACCTATGCGAGGATGGCAGCGGCGGGCAGCGAAGTGTCGCAGATGCAACAGTGCACCAAGATCATCTCGGTGCTCGACAATTCGTGGGACAACCTCATCCCCACCCTCAACGTTCAGCGGGACAAATGGACGCCTGAGTGGTTATGGCAGCAGATTCTGCAGGAGGACTTCCGCAGGCGCCACACGGGAGGTGGTGCTGCCAACAAAACTGCTGAGGGGTATGGAGCTGCAAGAGGCAGCGGAGGAAGAGGGGGAGGGAGAGGCCGAGGCCGTGGGAGACTTTTGCAAAGGGAGAGGCCGAGGTGACTACAATGAGGAGCATGGGAGCTCTGGTGGCAGGGGGAGCACCCGAATGGAGGGTGCGTGCTGGTACTGCAAGAAGACTGGACACCGGTGGCTCAAGTGTTTCAGCCGGCCTGAAGGATGGGCCCCTCCAAGCATGAAGCCGCCAGGTGGTGAACGTGCACGCGGTGACGCTGTGCAAGGTTCAGGTGCACAAGGTGATGGTGCACAAGGTAAAGCCGACCCTGTGATGTTCCTCATGGTTGAGGATGTGCAAGGGAGTGGGGGTGATGTGGGTTCAGTTGGGAAGGTTGTGATGCACCCCCTCACTCACTGGGTGATCGATTCAGGTTGCACGAGTCATATGACCCCACGGGCAGATTTGCTTGACGAGGTAAGACCTCCTGGGAAGATCAAGTTTGTGGCTGCCGCTTCAGGTGCTTTGCTCCCTGTGATTGGTGTTAGGAATGCCAAGGTGATGGGAGCCAATGGAGAGCTTGTGGGGCTTGGGAATGTGCTGTTGGTTGAAGGTTTGTCCGCTAACCTTTTTTCTGTGCGCCGGCTGGAGAAGAGCGAGGCTGAAGTTACCTTCGGCCCAACCAGCTGCCGTGCAAAGCTTGGGAAGTTGCTGCTGTGGAACTTGGAGAAGAAGAGCAGCTGCATCAAGAACATGTGGCAGCTACCCATCATCCCTTGGAATGGGAAACCACCAGCAACGGCAGCGGCTGCAGCAACGGCTGAGGCATCTGCAGGAAGAGAGGAGACCGCACCAACTGATGGGGCCCTGGATGTAGTCAAGAAGGTGCAGCAGCCACAGCAGCCACATGGTGAGGTGCTTGCTGGTGTGGATGCGATCGCTGCATGGGCAAAGGCTTCATCTGGGAATGGTGATGCCGATTGGGAGACGTGGCACGAGAGGTTGTGTCACATTAACATTCCGATGCTGCAGAAATTAGTGGAGGATGGGAGCGTGAAGGGGGCAGTGAAGGAGATTCGGTGCTGCCCAACATGCCTTGAGACTAAATTCACCAAGTTCTCCTTCAGCACCAGCACGGGACCAGCCAAGGTTCCACTTGCACTTGTGCACATGGACGTGGTGGGCCCCACGAGGGCCCTTTCTCTCTCGGGCAGCCGCTACTTCTTGACGATTGTGGACGACCACACGCGTGCGGTGTGGGTGTACCCTTTGAAGACTAAGGGTGAGGTGGCAGCGGGTGTTCTTAAGAAGTGGATGCCAAGAACTCTAAGGGAGAGCGGACACAAGGTGAATGTGATCCGCACCGATACTGGGGGAGAGTTCATTGGTAATGAGTTTGAGGTGATGCTGAAGAAGAAGGGGATCCAGCATCAGCTCACAGTGTTCTACAACCCTTCGCAGAACGGCGTGGCTGAGCGGTTCAACCGGACCCTGCAGGAAAGTGCTCACACTCTCTTTGGGAGTGCAGGGCTGCCGGATCCGTTTTGGGTGACTGCAATGCGGCAGGTCGCCCTTGTGAAGAACAGGGTGCTGGCGACTGTGGGGGACAAGCAGTGGGTCCCCTACACCATGTGGTATGGGAGTGTATCAGCAGTCAACATGCTGAGAGCCTTCGGTTGCATGGTGGTGTTTCATGTGCCTAAGGAGAAGAGGGGAAAAATGGACGCTTCTGGGAGATGGGGTGTGCACTTGGGGCTTGCTAAGGATCACAAGGGCTGGCTGATTTGGGACTTGACCAGCCAGCAGCTGACTGTGTCAAGGGATGTGAAGTTCCTCGAGTCCTTATACTACAAGGAGTGGAAGGAGCAGCAGCAGAAGCTTCCCGCTACACCGCTGGTTATTGAGGCTGATGAGGTGCAGCGGCCTTCGAGGCAGGTACAGGTCACTGTCTCTGAGGATGAGATCTCTGGGGTGTCTGAGGATGGGGGAGAACCTGAGGTTGAGGAGCAGCAGCAGCCGTAGCAGCAACAGCAAGGTGCTCCACAAGGTGCCGCATGTCCGGCTGACCGTCCTAGGAGGGATGTGCGCCCTCCTAACCGGCTGACCTATCCGAGCCTTGGCAAGCCAAAGGTGGTAAGGGCTGGGAGTGTGGCTGAGCTGTGTGATGACGAAGAGATAGCACACTGCTACAGGGCAGCCGTTCCTGAGCCCAAGACGTTAGCCTAGGCATTGAGCGGGCCCGATGCTGAAAAGTGGAAGCAAAGTGTGAAGGAGGAGCATGACTCTCTGCTGGAGAATGAGACTTGGGAGCTATGTGAGCTGCCTCCTGGGAAGAAGGCCTGTTCTTCCAAACCGATTTTTAGGCACAAGTATGGACCTAATGAGGAGCTGACCCGCTACAAGTCAAGGCTTGTGGCTAAGGGGTTTCAGCAGACAAAGGGGAAGAATTTTGACGAGATCTTTGCTCTTGTAGGGAAAGGCACAACACTGAAAGTGTCATTGGCAATGGCTGCAAACCATGGGTGGCGGGTGAAGCAAATGGACATTACCACCGCCTTCCTCAATGGGATCATCTTGGAGGAGCTGTACATGTTACAACCTGATGGTCTGGATGATGGGACCGGCAGGGTGTGCAGGCTGAAGAAGGCCATCTATGGCCTCAAGCAGGCTCCTCGTGCATGGTACCACAAGCTAGAGGAGACACTGCTGGCTTGGGGGTTCAAGAAGAGTGAGTGTGACCACAGCCTGTTCCTGCTACAAGAGAAGGAGCAGTTTCTCATGCTCATGGTGAATGTGGATGACATCTTGCTCTTCTCTGAGTCATCTGCAATGATTGAGCGTGTGGAGGAGATGCTAGAGATGCAGTTCAAGTGTTCCAAGATGGGAGATGTGAAGTACTACCTGGGGATGCATGTGGAGAGGGACCTTGACAAGGGAATGTTGAGGTTGCACCAGAGGAAGTACTGTGAGGGGCTGGCCGAGAAGTATGGGCTGCAAGATGGAGGGAAGCCAGCCACCCCACTACCTTCAGGGTTCACAGTAGAGCCCTGTGCTGATGAGGAGGTGGTGGGTGAGAGTGACAAGAAGCTGTTTCATTCCATGGTGGGGGCACTCAATTATGCGGCTAACCACACGCGGCCGGACATTGCCTTTGCTACATCCAGGCTTGCAAGTGTGGTTGCACGCCCCAGTCATGAGCAGCTGGAAGCGCCCAAGAGGTTGGTCAGCTATGTGAGCGCTATGGCATCAGTGGGCTTGGAGTACAGTGCTGTGCGTCAAAGGCTGCAGAGGGGTGCAACTGATTTGGGCAAGGGGGAGTTGCTCCTGACCTGCTACACCGACGCCAATTTCAACTCTGTGAAGGCGGATGGCACCAGCATTGGAGGCTATGTGTGCCTGTTTGGAGGTGGTGCAGTGAGCTGGCGCAGCAAGAAGCAGAACGAGGTGGGGCAGTTCTCGTGTGAGACAGAGTACATGGCCCTGCATCATGGGGCAAAGGAGGTGGTGTGGCTGAGGCGTTTGTTGGAGGAGATCGGAATGTGCCAGAGGGAGCCGACTGTGATTTTCTGTGACAATGAGTCGGCGGTGAAGCTAGCGAAGAATGCTTGTCTTCATGGGCTGACCAAACACATCAGGCCCAAGTGGCACTGGGTGAGGAGGCTCGTGGACAAGGAGGTGCGGTTGGAGATTTTGAAGACCCATCAGTAGGCGGCTGACATTCTCACCAAGCGCCTGGCTGAATCTGAGCATTGGAAGGGCATGAAGCTTGCTGGGATGAGTGTGCATTGAGGATGCATGCTTGAGCTATGGCATGTGGGATGATGGTTGGCAGCCAGAGGGGGAAGTTTGTTGTGTGATGCAATCATATGCATTCACGTCTGTCTACCTTCCATCACGTGTTCGTGCGTTGCATGCGTGGTGTGAGCGAGTGCAAGGAATTGTGTTTTGTGTGGTTTGAATTTTCTGAGGGTGTGCAAATGTTATTTGGCTTGAGCAGATATCAAGTGACTTCTGAAGTGACTTCTCTGCTCAAGAGCTCTCCGACGAACCAAGTATCGCTTCAATCGGAACACAATCAAGAAGGTTACAAACGTTGGAGTTCGTATGCTTTTCATATTTGATTGTGGCGACAGTGGGAAGTTGTGGGGTTGACTCAATATGGGGTACAGACTTTTGGGGGTTGGGAAATTCGTCTTTTCTACTGTAGTTGCTGCCAAATGGTTGGGAGAAACCAAACCTGGTTGGCAAGTGTGGCCAAGTTGGGCAAGGTGGATGGCATGGGTTGGAAAATGACAAAAGTAAACGTGGGGTTCCTATAGGGGAGGGATTTGGTGTGCTTTTGGGTTTCCTTGGTTGGGGACTCCTTGGGAACCTTCCCTCTCGTCCTCCTCTTCCCTCCCACCTGGTTAATTGCTACTCCAACTTTCTTGTATAAACTTGTGAGACTATTGTGATTGAGTTAAGATTCTATGGCAGCTTACCCCCTAGTGCGCCGAAATTCATAACTCAATAAATACTTCACCTTATTGTACGATTCATATTGTGAATTGTAGCCACGCACTAGAGCTACAACATATCTGAGTTTGGTGAAAGTTTAACTTTGCACCTTTTGTCGATGGCGTTTCTTGTGAATTGACGTTTCAGTCCAGAATTTTAAGCCAACGATTTTGAGAAATTTAAGCACCTAATCTTCATAGACTCCGTCCTTAGCATCTAAGTGGTTAGGAACCTAGGACCACCTACCTAAGGGCCCACCGTTTTGCTAGAAGCGCCCTCGAGCACACTATCGCCTTAGCACCCTCTTGCGCCTCTCTGTTAGTGCGCACTCGTGCGCCTCTCTCTCTCTTGCTGCCCGTGCGTAGCTCGCTAGCCCCACGCGCAGCCTTTTTTTTTAGCGCGCGTAGCCCGCTAGCCGCCCGCGCTCAGCCTGAGTCGCGCGGACGTCGCCTTTTAGCCACCCGCACGACCAGCGCCGCCCACGAGCAGCCCGCTAGCCGCCCGTCGACCGGCCCTGCTGGCCGTGTAGCGCGCCGCAGCCCCGCCCGTAGGCCGCCGCGTCGCGTGTGTAGGCCGCCGCCCGCGCGCGACTGCAGCCCACGCACAGCCGCGGCCCATACGCTACAGCCGCCCACGTGCAGGCCCACCGACGCGCCGCGCCGCGTAGCCTAGTCCGAGCCACGCCGCGCCGCCCTACTGTGCACCAACTGCAGCACCTGCTGTTCCTGTTCCTACTACTACATCTGCTACTGTACTGCTCTTACTTCTACTACTGCTACTGCTACCACTGCTACTGCTACTACTGCTACTGTCACTATGGCTAGTCCTAGAGTTCTCACCTTTGATTCTGAGGGCCATCCGGTTAACTTTGACGTTTGGCTCAATGACCTGCACCGGTTCCTCCAGATCACTACCAAGGACGATGTTTCCCTTTTTTACCACACGTGCGGCGCCGCTCCCGCACCTGCTGCTACTACTGACAGCACTGCTCACTCAGAGTAGCAAACTCGTGACGCTGATGCTCGCCTAGCCGTTCGCAGCCACCTACCGCTAGATGAGCGCGAGCACTTTGGCCAGCATAAGACTGCTAAGGAGCTGTACGACGCTGTAGTTGCATGCTACTCCTCCCTTGCTACTGCTGCGATAGGCCATCTCTCACTGCCCTATCTCTTCCCCGATCTGTGTGCTTTTGCCACTATAGCTGACCTCATCACGCACCTACGTACTAGTGATCTTCGCTACCGTGCTGTGCTTCCCCCTGATTTCCTAGCCAAGAACCCTCCCCCGATGTACCTCACACTCTATCACCTAGTCACCCGCCCCCCTGACTCCCTTCGCACTGTCAGGGACCGCTTTCTTTCCCTCTCCCCTACCGACCTCACTATCGACCTGCTCGAGAAGGAACTCCTGGCAGCTGAGAAGAGTATTGTAGCTGTAGGTGCCTCTCGTGGCGACCATCGCGCCCCCTTCTTTGAGGGGTGCTCCCCCGTCCCCCTCCTCCCCTCCATAGCATCTGCTGCTGCTGTCAACTACCTCGGTGCTGAGGGGGTCAGGGCTGCGTCTGCTCCTAGTGGGAGGCGCAAGGGCAGCAGGGGCAAGGGGGGCAGGGATGGCGGCGGTGGTGGAGGGGGCGGGGGTGGTGGCGGTGGTGGGAGTGGCGCTAGTGGTGGGGGGGGTCAGTAGCGGAGCCGGGAGTGGTGGAGGCAGCGGTGGTGGGGGTGGCAGGGGTGGTGGTGGTAGTGGTGGCGGCAGTGGAGCTAGTGGTGGACGCGGTGGAGCGGGGCAGCGCGGGGGGTTCGGTGGTGGCCAGAGGCAGCAGCAGCAGTGTCCCAGCGAGACCCCGTTGCCCCAGCAGCTCCGTGAGTGGTACTCTCAGCGTGGGGGTTCTGGGGGTGGAGGTACCTGCCCGTACATCATCTGCACAGATGACCGCACTGGCCAGACCTGTGGGAGGTTTCACACGGCGCAGCGCTGCTTCTTTCGTCTCAACGACGCCTTGCACGAGCAGTTCCCTGACGCCTCTGAGCTGCCCCGCTAAGCTGATCTGCATAAGAAGGGAATTGATATCGTTGCTCTTGATTATGATGCTATCCTTGGTGCTATGTATGCATTGACCATTAGTGTTGAGGGTGACTGCTACCTGAGTGTACCGCCCGACCCGGGTATTGGGACCAGTAAGACTGCCGCTCTAAGTGCTAGTGCGTCTGCCGCCCTAGGTCCAGGTGAGGCTGCTGCTCTAGGTGCAAGTTAGTCTGCTGCTCTAGGTGCTTGTGAGTCTGCGCCTGCTGGTACTGCGTCTATTGAGCCAGTGCACACCTTCACACTGGACTCGGGTGCTTCCCGCTGCTTCTTTCGTGACCGCACTGTCCTTGAGCAGCTAGCTCGGCCTGTTGCTGTCTCTCTCGCTGACCCCTCTGGGGGCCCAGTCCTTGCAACCTCCTCCACTGTCCTCCCTTGTCCGGCGGTTCCGGCCGGCACCCTGTCGGGTCTTCACCTCCCCTCGTTCTCTACGAACTTGGTGGCAGGCTCTGCTCTCCAGGACGGGGGTGTTCACCAATTCACCCCTGCCTATGAGTGCTCGGACGGGTCGCCACCTGACTACCTTTAGTCGGCAGCCGGGGTCGGACCTGTACACACTGACCACTGAGTCCCCTCAGGTAGTTGCGTCTGCGTCTGCGTCAGGTCAGCTGTCGGCCCCCTGCTCGTGTCGCACCCTGTCGCACCAGACTGTACTCTGGCACCACCACCTTGGTCACCCCTTAGTGCAGCGCCTTCGTGGCATGCACTCCCGGTACCTTGTCTCTGGTATTCTGAGGGTTCTCCCTCCTCTCCCACCCTCGCCTGCTCCTCCCTGTCTTCCCTGTGTCGAGGGGCGGCAGCGCGCCACTCCTCACTCCTCCTCGTTCCCTCCCACAGAGGCTCCTCTGCAAAGTCTCCACCTGGACGCGTGGGGCCCAGCCCGCGTCTGTGGATAGGGCCATGAGCGGTACTTCCTGCTGGTCGTCGATGACTACACGCGCTACACCAAGGTCTTCCCCTTGCGCACCAAGGGTGAGGTCCCTGATGTTTTGATCCCTTGTATCCGCGCTGCTCGTCTCCAGCTCCGCGACCGGTTCCAGTTGGACTTTCCACTCCTGCGTCTGCCCTCTGATAGGGGTGATGAGTTTTCCTCCGACCTCTTGGCAGCCTACTATCCGGAGCACAGCATCCGCCAGACGTTCACACTGCCGGCCTCCCACAGCAGAATGGGATTGCTGAGCGCCGCATTGGCTTAGTCATGGAGGTCGCTCGTACCTCTATGATCCATGCGGCTGCCCCCCATTTCCTGTGGCTGTTTGCAGTACGGTACGCTGTGCATCAGCTCAACCTCTAGCCCCGGGTCTCTGCTCCGAAGACCTCGCCCACACTGCGTTGGACGGGGAAGGTTGGCGATGCATCGGTGTTCCGAGTCTGGGGATGTCGAGCCTGTCAGAACATACAGCTTATACATTTGTGTAGGCTGTAGTGGGGTAGCCCATATGGGGTACAACCCAATTAGGGTTAGTACTTGCACCCAACTCTTTCATAGTTGAATCATTCTCGTTTCAATTCTCACATGGTATCGAGCAGGTTCCCCCGTGGGAACTGTTCCTAAGGCCCTACTACTGCATCTGCTGCTACTCGATCTGTCGCACGCCCCGCGGCGTGCGACCTAATTTCGTCTCGACGCGCGCCAACGGCGCGCGGCGATTTTCTTTCTGGCGCGCGCCCCGAGGCGTGCGACCCCGCCTCTCTCGTCGCGGCCCCGCCCCTTGTCGCGGCCCCGCCCTACGTCGCGGCCCCGCCCCTCGTCGCGGCCCCGCCACCTCTCGTCGCGGCCCCGCCATCTCTCGTCGCGGCCCCGCCCTTTGTTGCGGCCCCTGCTGCCCTTCGTCGCGGCCCCTGCCGCCCTTCGTCGCGGCCCCTGCCGCCCTTCGTCGCGGCCCCTGCCGCCATTCTCCACCGCGGCCCCGCCACCTCCCTTGCGGCCCCGCAGCCCTGCACCGACCCGGCCCCGCCTCTGCTGGCCTCGTCGCCTGCCCCTGCGGCCCTGGCTCCACCTCTGCCAGCCCCGGCGCCGCCTCTGCTGGCCCCGTCGCCGCTCCACCCGGCCCTGCCGCCGTCCCCAGGCGGCCCCGCCGTCACCACCGAGCCGCCGGCGCCGCCGAGCTAGTGCCGAGTCACCCGAGCCGCCTGAGCCGCCCGAGCCGCCCGAGCCGCCCGAGCCGCCCGAGCCGCCCGAGCCACCCGAGCCGCCCGAGCCGCCCGAGCCGCAGCGCCACCTCAGCCGCCCGAGCCGCCGGGTCGCCGAGCCGCCGAGCTGCAGTTGCTGCCAGGCAGCCGTAGCTGCCGAGCCGCCCGAGTCGCCCGAGCAGCCGAGCCGCCCGAGTCGCCCGAGCCGCCGAGCCGCAGTTGCTGCAGTGCTGCCGTGCCGCCGAGTCGCCGAGTCGCCGAGTCGTCAAGCCTGCTCTTCCCACCACTGGTGAGCCCCTGCCTTACTAGCGCGCTGCCTGCTGCTTGCTTGGCTGCCTGCCTTACTGCTGCTACTCCTGCTCCTGCTTCTACTAGCGGCGGCCAGATGCAGCTCCAGTGACGCCCACGCGCGTCTCTCACGCCCCAGCAGCTTCGTGAATGGTACGCTCAGAGTAGAGGGTCTCTCAGTTCTGTTCGCTGCTCTTACGTGATTCGCACTGGTGCTCGGACTGGTCAGCCTTGTGGGACGCCTAGTCACACACCGTCCCGCTGCTTCGCCCGTCTGAGCGACGCCTGGCGTACCAAGTTTGGCGACGAGGCTGAGCTCCCCGACTGGGTGGAGTTGCTTAGGCAGAGGGTAGATATATTTGCTCTTGACTATGATGCTATTCTCACTGCCATGTATGCATTGCCTACTAGTGCTGACCGTGCCGGTCACCTGTGCGTACCGCCTGACCCGGGTATAGAGCCTGCTGCTCTAGCTGCTGGTGCGGCTGCTGCTCTGGGTGCTAGTGTGTCTCCTGCTCCAGGTACAAATGCGGCTCCTGCTCTAGGTGCTAGTGAGTCTGCTTCCTCAGGTGCGGGTGAGTCTGCTCTCTCAGGTACCGCGTCGACTCCGGCCTCTCACACCTTCACCCTTGACCCGGGGGCTTCCCGCTCCTTCTTTCGAGACTGCACCACACTCACGCCGCTTGGTCGGCCAGTTGCAGTCTCTCTGGCAGACCCCTCTCGGGGCCCTGTCCTTGCTCACTTCTCCACTGTCCTCCCGTATCCGGCGGCCCCCTCTGGCACCCTGTTTGGTCTTTACCTCCCCTCGTTCTCTACAAACTTGGTGAGTGGTGCTGACCTGCAGGATGCGGGGGTTCACCAGTTCACTCCTGCGAGTCAGCGGGTGACCCACTGCACAGACGCTCGGACAGGCAGACACCTGGCCACGTTTACTCGTCGGCCGGGGTCGAGCCTGTACACACTGACCACTGCGTCTCCTCCAGTTGCTGAGCCTGGTAGGGTAGCTGCGTCGGGTCAGGTGTTTGCTGCAGCGTCCAGGTCTGGTCCTGAGTCTGCCCCCTGTTCTTGTCGTCTCCTGTCTCACGAGACTCTCCTCTGGCACCACCACATTGGTCACCCCTCTCTGCTTCGGCTCAGAGGCATGGCCTCTCGTCTTCTTGTTTCTGGTCTCCCCCGGTCCCTCTCTCCCCTTCCTCAGGGCCCTGGCCCACCTGTGTCCCCTGTGTCGAGGGGCGCCAGCGTGCTGCCCCTCACTCCTCCCAGTTTCCTCCGACAGAGGCCCCGTTGCAGACGCTTCAAATGGACGTGTGGGGCCCAGCCCGCGTCCGTGGACAGGGTCACGAGCGCTACTTCCTGCTAGTTGTAGACGACTACTCGCGTTACACCGCAGTCTTCCCCTTGCGCAGCAAGGGTGATGTCACTGAGGTGCTGATCGACTGGATCCGCGCAGCTCGTCTCCAGCTCAGGCAGAGCTTTGGCTCGGACTTTCCTTTTCTGCGTCTGCACTCGGACAGAGGCGGAGAGTTTTCCTCTGGCCTTCTGAGAGCCTACTGTCGCGCACGGGGCATCCGTAAGACCTTCACGCTTCCGGACTCTCCACAGCAAAATGGGATTGCTGAGCGCCGCATTGGCATGGTCATGGACGTCGCTCGTACGTCTATGATGCATGCGGCTGCCCCCCATTTTCTGTGGCCGTTTGCAGTCAGGTACGCGGCGCATCAGATCAACCTTCACCCCAGGGTCTCCAGGCCGGAGACCTCCCCAGCCTTGCTGTGGACGGGGAAGGTTGGCGATGCGTCGGCGTTCCGGGTCTGGGGATCTCGGGTGTTAGTCCGCGACTTGTCTGCGGACAAGTTGTCCCCTCGTGCTGCTCCTTGCGTCTTCCTGGGGTTCCCCCCTGACGCGCCTGGGTGGCAGTTCTACCACCCCACCTCTCGCCGTGTTCTGTCCTCCCAAGACGTCACGTTTGACGAGTCGGTCCCCTACTACCGCCTCTTCCCCTACCGCACTCCGTCCCTCCCCCCGCCCCCGCTCTTCCTTGTACCAGGTCCCCCCCAGGTAGACCCCCTCCCCCCTCAGGGTCCTTCCCCTTCAGGTGTGTCCCAGGTAGACGCAGTCGAGCCTGTCAAGGTCACTGGTGACTCTGGTGCTGCTGAGGGTGCTGAGCCTGGGGGTGCTGAGCCTGGGGGTGCTGAGCCTGGGGGTGCTACACCTGGGGGTGCTTTGCCTGGGGGTACCGGGCCTGGGGGTGCTGAGCCTGGAGGTGCTTGTCAACGGGAGTTGGGTATTGGCCCCGTCCTCGCTTGGGCGGAGCCGACTTCGTGGTCGGGTGTGAGGGGAGCAGCCGGCCTTCAGCAGTGGGTGAGCTGGTCGACGAGGAGGTCGACCTGCACGGGGGACCACTGCACGGGCGCCGACTTCAGGGTGGCGCCGACTTCAGGGAGGTCGACTTGGGTGTCGACCTGCGGAGGATGTCAACTTGGTGACGTCAACTTGGGGAAGCTGACTTCGGCAATCGGCTCATGGACTGCTGGTCGACCTGTTAAGTGGTCGACTGGACCTGGTGGTCGACGAAGGAGGGGCCGACGTTGACCTCGACTCAGGACGCCGAACAGTTTGGCATTGAGTAGCGGGGCGTCAACTTCGTGACGCCAGCTTTCGGTGGCCGACGTGGGTGGTCGGCCGACGACTGTGCTGGTCGACGAGGAGCAGGTCTACCAGGAGTGCTGGTCGACGAGGAGATGGTCGACCAGAGGGGATGTCGACCTGGAGGAGGTCGACCGATGGTGTCGTCGACCTGGTGAGGTGGACGTGGAGGTGGTCGTCGACTTGGGAGGTCGACGGGCACGTACGGGAGCTGCTGGTCGACGTGGTTGCCTGGTCGACCAGGTTACCTGGGTGACGAAGTGCTGCGGAGGAGTGCGACGGTCGCCCAGGTGAAGTTGGCGAGCCCGACCTCGGTGGTGGTATCCCGAGGTCGACGTGGCCGATCAGAGGCAGTCGTCAGCTCGAGGTTGACGTGGTGTTGTGCGCTGTGTAGGTGACGAGACTCTGCACGCCAATCACCTGCACGCAACTGCGAAGCAGGGTGCACTGCTGTCCTGCGTGAGCAACGCTGTCACGCCGTCAACCTGTGACGTTGGCACGCCGTCGACCTTGCCTTGCTGGAGCGCGGTCGACCAAGTCGTGCTGGAGCACGGTCGACCAAGCTGCGTTGGCAGTTGGCCGACCTGAATGCTTGCTCTGATGTAGTCTTGCTGTGCCAACTTCATTGTACCATTGTTCTGAACCTTTTTCCTAGTAAAAACTCTTGCCAATTTTCCCCGTGAACTAGCAAGTAGTGTGTGCACAAGGAAAACGACTAAGGACTAACGAACGCAGAGATCACACGAGCACACGTGCCTAGCCCGTAGCCTAGCTCCCAATGCTGCAGTTATCTCCGCATGGTGCGGTGAGCGTGGACGGCACACGACTTACCTTTCAGTCAGGTTGACGTAGACACCACTTACCTATTTCGTAGTTGCAGGCCGGCAACTGTGCGGTAGTCACTATGGTAGGAGCCGTAGGTGACGCGGGGGTGGTGGACACCCTAGAGGCACGGTTGGAGAACGCGAGGAGGAAGCACGAGGCCAATGAGTATGGCGACTTGCCCTGGCCGGTCGTCGAGGCTTGACTCCGCTCCATGTGGGCGACGGAGCACCCGTCTCGACCTGCCTCTCCTCGTCCGGTGAACAACGAAGGCGGCGTCGACGTGGGCGTCAACGCCGGTGGAGGTCAGGTCGGCAGCAATGTGGGAGGCACGTCGAGGCAACGAGGTGTGATACACGCCGGTGAAGTCGGCGGCGTTCAGGCGCAAGGGATGCAGTCGTCGGCGACTGCAGGCTCTTCGCGGGGTGACGTCGGAGGTCAACGGAGTGGGGTGTCGCCGATGTCGGCGTCCTAGGTGACGGCAGGTGGGATTGCGCGGAGCTACGGCTACTTCAAGTTTACGCCGGACAGGATCTCGGTCACCCCTCCGCTGGTCGGTCGACCCGACATTCTCACCTGGAAGGAAGCCATCGAGCCCCAGCTGGAGATGGCCGGGCTGATCGGCTTCGCCCGAGGGACCGTGGCGACGCCGGGGGAGCACCACCCCGACCTGCGTGCGGAGTTTCGCGCCGTGCAGCTGTTGACCTTCACGGTCATCTCGCGGTGCTGCTCGCCGGGCGTGCAGATCGCCTTGAAGTGGTGCCGGGAGTACCTCGACGCCGGCCACTGGGCGTGGCACTTCATTGAGTCTACGTACCAGGTCACCGACGACCTGTTCATCGCCCAGCTGGAGGGACAGCTGACGCACCTGCGTATGGGCGACGAGGAGAGTGCGACCGACTACTGCAACCGAGCCAGGCGAATTCTCGCCACCATCAGGATGGCCGGCGCGCAGTACTCCACGGCGTCGTACATCACCCATGTCATGCAGGGACTGTCTAGCAGCTATAACCTCCTGAAGCGGCTGTCTATGGCGCCGAGCACGAGGGCGACGCTCAACGAGGACAACCTGACCTCGTACATCCTGCAGGACGAGGCGATGCAGGAGGCTGAGCGATCGCAGGAGCTCTTGGCGCAGGCCAACTTCGTCGCTCCGGCAAAGCAAGGAGTCAGACCAGGACAGCGCGGACAGTCTGGTGGCGGCGGGAGCGGTGGCTGGAAGTCGACCAAGGAGGTCGAGAAGAAGTCGACCAAGGACGGCGGTCGAGGAGGAGGAGGTCGACATCGGGAGTGCTGGATCTGCCACAGCCCCGATCACCTCTCCTTCGATTGTCCCGACCGCAGTGACTCCGACGACGACGACAAGGGCAGCCGCGGGAGGTCTGGCAGCCGTCGTCCTCGTCGTGGGGGAAATCATCCGCGCAAGGAGAAACAGTCGACCAAGGCATCGACTTCGGCGAAGGACGCCGACTCCGTTGCAGGCGGCAAGGGGCGAGACGACAAGATGGCGTCTTGCTCGCTGGTCGGCGTCGTGGAGCCGACCATCTCTCTGGCGCCGGAGGCCTGAGAGGACTTCCAGGCGGTGGCGGCGGCTGTGCAGGCGAACCCGGCGGTGGTCCTGCTCGACAGCGGTTGCTCCCACCACCTGATGGGAACGAAGGAAGCCTTCGTCGACCTGCAGCCGAGTGGCTCCATCAAGCACGTGCGCGGCTTTAATGGGGCACTGCAGGACGTTCAGGGCCGTGGCACCGTCTCCCTGCAAGGAGAGGCCGGGAACGAGGTGCTCATCCCCGGCGTGCTGTACGTCCCGGGTGTGCGGGCCAACCTGCTGTCGGCCGGCCAGCTGAAGGAGCACGGCGTGAAGCTGCAGGAGGACGGTGACGGCATGCTGCTCGTCTCGGCAACAGGGGAGGTGCTCGGGCGGGCGACGTACTCTGGGCGAGTCCTCTGCACCGACCTGCGTCCCTGCGCGACGAGGTCGACGCCGCCCACGTCGGAGGTGGTGGCTCTGCGGGCGATCGTCTCAAAGACGAAGTCCACGCCGGACCGGATGCATGCGAGACTTGCATATGTCAGCATGGACACCATACGGAGCTCAGCGAAGAACGAGGTCGGCACTGGGCTGGACCTCAAGTCGGCGACGGACGCCGACTCCCCGTGTGTCTCGTGCGTCGGCGGGAAGCTGGCGCGACACACCTTCCCCGACCAAGGCTCCGACGCCGATGATGTGCTGGCCGTCGTGCACATCGACCTGTGCGGCCCATTCCGCGTGGCTGCCAAGGATGGCAGCCTGTACTTCTTGTTGCTGAAGGACCGCAAGACCCGCTACGTGTGGGTGAAGCCGGTCACCAAGAAGTCAGATGCGTTGCCGGCGTTCGTGCAGTGGCTGGCAGTGGCTGAGCGGCAGACGAAGAGGTCGGTATTAATGCTGCGCTCTGACCGGGGAGGGGAGTTCCTCGGGAAGCAGTTCACCGACTTCGTGAACGGCAAGGGGATCGTCCCAACCTGACCTGCCCATACACTCTGCAGCAGAACGACATGGCGGAGCGGGAGATGAGGACGGTGGTGGAGTCGGTGCGGACAATGCTGCTGCACATGGGCGTGCAGCACCACTGGTGGCACCTCGCTCTCCGGCAGGCCGTCTGGGTCCGCAACTGCCTTGAGAGGTCGGCGCTGCCGCCGGGGACGACGCCGTACCAGCTGCTGACCGGGAAGAAGCCCGACTTGTCGCTGGCGCGGGTGTGGGGCTGCATGGCGCAGTTCTTAGTCACCGAGCAGCAGCGTGGTGGGAAGCTGCAGCCGAAGGCCAGGTGGGGCCTGCACCTTGGCGTGTCGGCGGCGAGCAAGGGCTGGGAGCTCCTCGACGTCGACGCCGACCGGGTGGTCACCACGTCGGATGTGGTGTTCTACGAGGAGCTGTCGCTGGCCGAATGGAAGACGGAGTACGGGTCGGTGTCCGGCCGCTCGTCGCCCACCCCGCCCTCTGACACCTCGTCGGCGACGCTGCCACTACTTGCCGAGGTCGGTGAGCTTGCTATTACGGACGTTGAGGACGTCCGCCCTACCCCTCCCCCTCCGACCCCTGCCCCTCCCCTCGTGGCCGACCTGCGTAGGCTGACCTCGGTGTCGGCCTCCGGCGATGTGGGGAGTAGTGGGACGTTGCCTTCGGCTAAGTGCATCGCCCGTGGCCGACGTGACGAGCGGCAGGTCGACGTGGGATTGCAGTCGACGTCGACAGGGGAGGAGCAGGTCAAGAAGCAGGTCGAGGACCAGCGGCCGACAAAGGAGCAGGCAGCAGTGACGCCGACCAAGGAGCAGTCGGCGACCGGGCAGTCGGCAGGGGAGCCGACCATAGGGGAGAAGTCGGCTGGTACGCCGGCTGAGGAGCAGCAGGACGCCGAGGGCAGCGACAACAGCAACGATGGAGGGGACGCCGAGGAGGTCCAGCCAGGACCACGGCGTTCAGGCCGACTTCGGAGACCGCCTGACTTCTTCGTCCCCGCTGCCTTCACCACGGTGTACGACGTGGACGATGAGGCCGACGACCTGCTGTACGACGATGCCGAGGAGGATGAGGAGTTTCCAGAACTCGACCCCGACATGCTAGCCGACCCCGAGCACCGTTGGGACATCTCGACGATGACGGTGAAGGAGGCGTTGGCGAGCTGGAAGGGCCCGGCGGTGAAGGCCGCCATGGAGGAGGAGATTCGCAGCCTCCTCAACATGGGAACGTGGGAGTTGGTCGAACGTCCGCCGGGAGTGAACGTCATGAAGAACCGGTGGGTGTTGACGACGAAGTACCACGTCGACGACACCGTTGAGCGCAAGAAGGCGAGGCTGGTTGTGAAGGGCTTCACGCAGGTGTACGGCGCCGACTACGACGAGACGTTCGCGCCG